ACCCTAGCTCCTGATTATGAACCTGTCCTTATTTCAGAGGTTCATTAATACACATTACTATTGTATTGGGACTGATACTACCCCTCCTCATTATAGAGGCCTCCTTATTTTAGAGTGTCCACAATAGGAGGAGGTTATACTGTACATGTACATGTATGCGTGTGTGTTAATGGGAGTAGGATAATGATAGGTTGTTGTTTAGTTAGAGTATGTTCAAAGGAGCTTTTAAATTGACAATTGTAACTATACCACATGCTTAAGATGTTTGTTTTATTAGCATGAAACTCTTGCCCCCGAAAAGACTGTTGATTCCAGGAGAAAGAAGGGAGATTTCCCTCCATTATAAACCTATCTTAATTGCTATCTTAATTGTAGTATTTTTTTCATAATTTTCCTAAATTTTTTAATGCATTTTAATTTTTATTTTTAATGGTAAAATTTTTAGTAAATTAGTATAGAAATCGAATTTCTGCTCGTTTCATAATGTCATATTTTATACATGCATGTACATGTATTTTTTGTCGTTATTTTGGCTGGTTATATTAATGGTTATTAATTAAAAGTAGGCGGAGTTTGAGTCCAGTTCCAATGAGACCTAGTTCCCTCTGCTTTGAACTCGCTAGGAAAAGAAAACGAAATCAAGGAGGTGAGTAACGTACATGTACATGTAATTATTGTATACATGTGCATGTTTTTTCTATCCTCAAAAAACCTGCCATACAATAATTTATACATGTACATGTACATGTACATGTACACATGTATAATAGTTAATAATAATACATATGCCACAGGCCCATAGTTCTGCCTATGGTTCATCACTTAGACCAACCATCCAATTAATACTAATAACCATACATAAAGCATGATATTGTAGTCTACTAGTATGGTGTACATACAGGTATGTTAAAAAGGAACAATATTAGTCTCCAACTACCTCTAATTTTTTCTAGGCAGAACCCTGTACATGTACATGTATGTGCGTCTAAATTAAAAATTGGAAGATGTGTTATATATTATTATAGTATACAATATTTAATAATCCCTACTTTGTTGCTTTAGTATTTATACATGTAATTACATGTATAAAGTGTTTTTATTCATGTGATTATTATTCATGTATACATGTACATGTACTGTATATTAAAGCATATAATGTACATGTATATGTACTGTACATTGTGTGTATAGTCCATAGGTCATCTTTATTTGGCATGTGGTTTACTTTGATATACTGTACTATGGTATCTTTTGTGCCCTCAAGGTACATGTACTTGTAGCTTTAGTGGTTTAGCACTTTTACATAACTCCAGCTTTATATGAGATAATCAATCTTAGTACAGGGTATTCAATCAGAAATGGTTAAGAGAGGATTCTTCATTCTTCTTCCAATTGGGTGAAAGTCCCAGTGCTACAAGATCATTGGCCAAATTTTGCCTAAATTTGAAAAGGAGAGAATTCTCCATTTTTATAATATTATCTGATGCATATGCATGTACTTATGTTGTGTAGAAAGTTTGAGCTTATTCTGATCAAATTTGGATTTTTTATGAAATGTGTTTTAATAGCATATGGTCAGTTCATTAAAGCTCATGCTGTACAGATTTAAAACTGGTCAGTATAATATGATGTTTAGCTCACTTAGCATGCTTTGTGGGAAACCCTGACAAGTTCATGCATGTGTACATGTAGCTTTAGTGCTTTGATACCGTTAATACTTTTAATAGTAGAAGTGGAACCAAGTTTAGTCGAAGTACATGTATATAACCAGGCATTGGTCAAAGACCCTGTACTAGGGTACCGTATTTCCTCGAATTAGACCCCGCACGTCAATTATTACCTGCCCTTGAATAGTCCCCACACCTGTCAACTTTTGAGTGAAATAGTAGCCGCCCTCTAATTGTACCCACATAGTTTAATTTTAATAAATTTTGGGTGTGGCATTATTAATAGCGCTGAACATGCCAGCATAATATGATGCCAGTATCTATGCGCTGAGCTTAATTAAATTAACTTGAGCAAATAGTTGATCCCTTGGTTGGTTGATCTGGTTGTCGAAAGCACTGTAAACAACCAAGAAGATGAATCTCACTTACTACCAGAGTACTACCGCTATTGCTGGGCATTCTCTCGTGAGTTAAAAAGCTTCCAGTAGCTAGAGCTGCTCTCTAAACATCTCTAGGTAGTAAAGAAAGACTTCTACTGACAGAAGATTAAGGCCTCACAGATTAACTGATAAATTATTAGCCTCAGTTGAAATTATTAGTACCCGCCCTCAAATAGTACCCGCCCTCGAATAATAGCCTAATATTATCTTTCCTGAAATTAATAGTAGCCACGGGGTCTATTCGAGGAAATACGATATTTCATCAAAAAATGAACAAGAGAGAGTTATCACATTTTCATTGTTTGAGCTACTATATATGTACATGTATATGTATATACGTTATGTAGAAAATTTGAAATAATGAATCAATTCTTTAATATTATCTACAATGTA